CCCCAAAACCCCAAAACCCCAAAACCCCAAAACCCCAGTTTAGAAAACTCTAATTGAAAATAATATAAAATGGGTAAATGAATGTCAGCCCAAGCTCCTGATTCATTGTCTTCCAGCCAGAAAGGAAGACCTCTGAATAAGAAGATTGGCAAGAATACTGATAAGTAAGTATTTTTTAAGATTTTTATTTCATGCTGCTAACTTCTAATAGGCTTTTTACAAAAATGAGCACAAAACAAATAGGTTCATTTGAAGGAAGCAACTCCCTCAGCCCGCATGGAAGTCAGAAGAACCTGGAATCTTCTGGAAGTTCAGGGTCTTATTCTAAGTCTAAGACTAATAGCAGCTCGTTCTCACAGAATGGGATAGGGAATTCTATTAATAGGAATCTTTCACTTGAGAGCACGAGCGAGCCTCCAGAAGCATCAGTTAGTAAGAACCCTACCACTGATCTCTTTAAAGAATGCATGAAAGATCTTGAGATGATAGACTATAACTACTGTCATAAGTTAATATCTCAGAGTTCATCAGAAAAATTGCTGAAAGATATTTGTCCATACACTCAAAATTCTGTTTTGCATGTTTGTTGATTCAATGGGCATCTGGAATTAATAGAAAGCTTACTCAGGAAACAACGGAAATTAATAAAAACCTAAAAACTTAAACTCTAACACGGTTTTTCACTCTTTGTGCAAAAATACGACAAGTTCAGACCATGAACTAACTGTGATGTTCCAGATTCTCAACCAATACAGGGTGAACTTGGCATCCAAAAATGATGATGGGAAAACCGGAATTGATCTCCTGATAAAAAGGATTAGAGATAAAAATCCATATGATGGAAATCTCCAGAGTGTCAGACTATTATATGGAAAAGTGCTGGATGTTATCCCTCTCTCATATTATAACAAAATAAAGGAAAGCAAAAACTTCATCACGAAGGAGCGTCTTCTTGAAAGTGATCTATCTGACATCAGTAGTGTCGCTTCTATGAGTCTAGCTCGCTCTGTTAGATAAGTCATTTTTCAAATTCAGTTTGTCCTAATAATAAACTTTTTGATATGTAAAACTATTCTCTATTGTGCTTGTCTGACTAATCTGGACTAAACGGCACTATTCCTCCTTTCTAAAAGAACAATCATTATTATAATTAGGCAAATTACTATGTAAATACATAAAAAGTGAGTCCAGAAATCTGGCTTGCGACTTCACTTTTGTGACGCATATTTCATAGGTTTTCAGTGAAATTTCTATCTTGTTTTGCGACTAAAACTTGGTTGGAGAAAATTACTCTATAGATATAGAATTCATTGTTCTATTCATACTTGATAAGGATCTATTCATCGAAAATGTTGGACAAATTAAGCATTTAGTATTAAAGGAGCGTTAAAACTAACCACAGAGAGATAAGTGACTACCTTGTGGCGAAATTTTATCCCAAACACCTTCTAATAATAGCTTAAGTGAGCTCAGAATTGACCTTTTGGAAGAAAATTTGTTTGAAATCGGCTTCGTAAGGCTCATAAACCTCTAAGATTCACAATCCGTACCTTTGTTTCAATATCTATTTAGTGAATTGGGGTTTTGGGGTTTTGGGGTTTTGGGGTTTTGGGG